CCCCAAAACCCCAAAACCCCAAAACCCCTTGTATAGGAGAGGATATTGATTAACTTTATAATAATTACTCAAGATGATATCAAGTAAGTAGAAGTGTGGCTGACCTAGTTCGGCACCTAAAGGGGAAGTCAAAAGAAATTTGAGTTTAAGGGGATTTAGGTAATCAGAAATCGGAAGTTAATGAGATGAGTGAAATCCCCTCACAGATACGAAGAGAAGAGGAAAAGAGCCAAGAAATGGAAGATGATAGTAATATATATTACTGTTGAGAAGAGTCAGGAGAGGGCGAAGAAGAGGAGCTAAGTCATTTTCAACAAAGGATATATGATGCCTGAAAATCCTCAGAAGATTACGTAAATGATCTTCATACAGGTAAGAAGGTTTGGGGATTTCTTTATTGCTAATTTGCAACTATTTGGCTGCAAATTTTATCTCAGAAAGGTTAGATTAGTATTAAGTTTTTAAAAATTTCTTTCTTTAGATTCATCAAGTGAACAGAGGAAGTATATTAGATTCAAAATGGGTTTCAGACAAATTTTTACAACATTCATGCAAGATTTGCGTGACACCGGAAATGACCAAAGCAACTTTTGGGATGAAGACCTGATTGTTTCTGAAACTGAGCATTTCTGGAATGAGTTTGAAAAATTATGTAAGAATACTAAATAACTCCTATAGTCACAAACCTAAAAGCCGGTATCCTTAAGAATAATTTATGTAGCTCCCTCTGATGGATTTGCTTCTGAGATTATTTACGGAGAGTAAATTTGTTTCTCATCAATAGCTCGGAACAAGAGAAATCGTTCCTATCAAAAGTTCCTTCATCATCAAATCCAACATCATATGTAAGTTTTCACTTTCTAAAACTTATAGATCTATAGAGAGGATGAAAGGAATGAAATCACTTTGAATAAAATAGCTTTGTTCAAGAACAATTATCTTCTCCATGACTACCCATTCCTGATTGCTAAAAGAGTAACATAAGGTTTAACTTTAGGCACCCTCCCTTGTAGCAGAAGTTCAAGAATCCTTCCACCATATGATCCTTTGTGATAAGAACTTCAGCTCTTGATTCTTCAACTGAGTTGATGAAACGAGAGATCGTAGAAGAAGTGATTTACCAAAAGGAAGTTCTCTAAGGTCCCTCAAAAGAACAGAAGTGTTACAAGTCAGAACTAAGAAGTATAGCGATCAAAGGCAGGTGAATATCCTTCTTAGTTATCCATGCATCATTTCTCTCTGTCACTCAATGTAAGCTCTATGAGTATGATTTTAGGATTGATTACAAGTCCAACCCCAAGGTATCCTTAGTAAGCAGCAAGACTTGCAGAGAGATCAATAGATCTCAAAGAAAATTCGTAAAGAATATCACTAAGAAAGGATTGGGACATCTTTTTAACCTAATTCATTCGGATTTCGACATTAATGAAGATAGTAACAGCTTTAGTTATCATTTACAGATTGCTTCAGAGATGACATAGAAATAAAGATAGGCAAATTCCTCCTCTGGCAACTCAAATCAGAACTTGAGCGAGATTATTTTTGTAAAGGATGGGGACAAGAGATGAGAAATGGGCTGAAATATCTCTTAAAAACTTCCCAAAATGATGAAATAATCTCAAAATATCAAGATTTTGTAATCATTATTGGAGCAAAGACTCTTAGAAATTTCAAGCAGAATCAGCCTCACCATTTATTGGTAAACATTCTCAGAATTCTTTGGGTGCTACAATTGAGGATCCTCTTTCTTCATTAGTTTAATGACAATTTTTAAAGAATATTTCTTCAATAATTTTACCTTAGCATTAAGGTTAACATTCTGAACGCCCTAGTGAGCATTATATAGCCAAAATTTTCAATACTTATAGTCATTACGAGATTGTAGCATTGATTTTAAGCCAAAATAGGGAAAATAGTCACCTAAAAAATCTCGATGTTTACATAAAACTGTTCTTCGCACAACCTAATCAACTCTATTTTCTATTTTATTTTCAAAATACGAATCTATTTCGATTAATGGAGTAAGAAAATATATGCAAATCAGCCCAGAGGGTGTTAATTTGAAACTAAATTTAGACTCTTCAAACTATGAAGTGCTCTCTGAAAGACACAGAAGCTTTCTATTTGTAATTATACTGTGTTAATTTTGGAATGAATGTACTTTGTAACTCCCATCAAAATCTACCGATAGTTAGATTACTGATCAAATCCTAACAAAGATTCATATGACTTTTGAGTGTTTCTGACGCTATTTTATAGAAAAATCCTGAGCCAATTGATGACGGTAAGCCACAGATTATTTAGGGAGACACTTTAAAAGCTCTATCCATGGTCTTAAACTTTGTGGGATTCTGGGACTACCTTAAGAGAAATTCATAAGAATATTTACATAACAATGCTAATTATGGAGTATGAGGAATAGAGAGTCTCTGATGATATTTTTAATCATCACTTATGAGGGTATTCAAAAATGATCCATTTCCTCGAGCAAATTCTGAAAGTTCTTAATTTTTATTACTAGGTGCTATGAGCTGTGATGATTTCCCCTCTTACTCGGTCCGTCAACCTATTGAAGAAAGTAAACAAAGTAAGTAATTTCAGCATTATACTGCATTAGTAGAAGAGCATGTTGCTTCTTTTTCAAATCAATTTACAGCTTCAAAAATAATCAAATTAAAATAACTAAGTTTATTTGATATTTTTGAATACATTACATCATATTCTGGTTTTATTATCACCAAATCTCTAAGCTTAACCTAAGCAAAGGATCATGGCTGTAGATAACTCTCTGCAAGAATGGTTGCTAATTTCCTCCATATCTTATTGCATGAGGGTCTCAAATCTGCAAGAAATTATCAAAATTCATCATAAAAATGCTAAATTCCACAATCTCCCCATTCTCGCCCCAAAATACATTAAAACCCCTCTAAAATGTCTAGACTTCTTAGCAAGCACCGAAAGGCAGACCCCATGCAGATTCGTAAGCTCTCCACCACCCAATTTCTCACCATCTCTAGCTGCGAGGTTTTGGGACCCAAGACCCCAGTTCAAAGTTCACTACAGAAATCTACTCAGAAATGAACGAATACCTGGATGAATTCGCTAACCTGAAATCTTCCTTGCTCAGCTCTGTAGAGCAGCTGGACATCTGTATTCTCTCTTCTAAGTTCAACACAAAAAGATTTGTTAATAAGCTCAATTCTGTGTTGAACAAGAAGAATAATAAGTGTAAGTTTGGTGGTTTGTGAGGGTTTTGGTGAAGTTTAACTGGAGTTTTAGACCTAGAAGAGCTCCTATGTGATATTAATAGTGGCCAAGGAATCTTCGCAGCGAATCAGTTGGTTATATATCTGACTGAATTGATATTTAAAAGATCCATGAGAGCTAAATATGATGAGTTTGTTGGTAGAATCTTGGATATGAACAACCTGGACTGTATTAAACAGCCATTTAGTTTATCTTCAACAGCAATATTCGGTCTCTTCCATCTTATGATAGATACTGAGAATGATTTTAAGAGATGGACTAAAGCAGGAAAAGAAAAGGCAAAGGATAAAGTTTGGGAATACATATTTCCTCCTTTTACAGACTTATCCAAATATTTAGGTAAGTTAGTTTCCTCCTAAATTGTAATGACTGAATTTAGAGTCAGGAAACGGAATTTATGAATCTGATATCTTCTATGAAGGTAAGTTTAAACATTCATCAGTTTAATCAACTAATATGTCTAGTCATTGGATTCAAAGAGCAGTTTGAAAAGAACAAGATTATCAAAAAGTATCAAATCGATTCCTCAAAATTGAATGGTGTGTTTAAGGGATAACCCTATAGTGGTATTCGTGAGAATCCAAAATCTATATAACAATCTTATGTTCGCTTCTATCATCCATTTTTATCAGAAACTCCGTGACATGAACAAAAAGAACAATGAAGAGATTGAAGTTGTCGAGCCAAAAATTGAAGAGAAAATGGTGCTGTTCCCAAGTGATACCAGCAAGATAATACAGTTCAAGTCTAAAAAATTTGAAGTCAATGAGCATGCATATCTCTGCTGCCAGAACTATATCCTTGGAGCTCAAGGTCTTTGTATTCCCAGTTATCAATTGTATGTATTGCTTCCTCATCTACAGCCATAATATCAGCGAATGATTCAAGGATACCTCTCTCAAGGGAAAATTTGGGGTAATCGTCCAGTGTTTGATGCTAAAATCCAGAAGTACTGACCTTCAAAACCCTGATCAAAAGAATACGTTCAAGGAATGTAAAGCTTACAGGCCAATGTATTTATGCAAATTCTAGTCTCCACTAATTATCACTGCTTTGGGGTTTTGGGGTTTTGGGGTTTTGGGG